GCCGGAGCGCGCGAGGGCGGGGTGGAGGGGCCGGGGACGGAGCCGAGGTAGGTAACTAGGTGGGTGGGTGGGGACGGCAGCGGCTCCCCTCTCAGGGTTTCTTTTGTTTCATGGCCTTAACCAGCCCCCGGCGCGCGCGGCGGCGGTGGCGACGCCCCACGCCGTTCTCCGAAGGAAGCCGGCGCGCTCTGATTGGCTGCTTTTAATCTCCGGGAGCCCGCCCTCTCGTCCTGCAGCCTTCTAGTTCCTTTCCCTCGGCCCCACCCCCGCCCTCTTCTCGGGCCCCGCCCCGCCGCGCCCCAGGCCGCTCTGATTGGATGACGACAACGAGCCAGTCCTCGTAGCCGGCTCTTTCAGTCCCCCTCCCCACACCCCGCCCTCCTCTTGCCCCCGGGCTCACGAGGGAAGCGACTGTGATTGCTCGATGGGTACGTCACTCTTTGTGACGTAGCCAGGTGCCCGGGGAAAGAGGCGGGAGGAAGGCGCGCGAGCGGAGGAGGAGAGGGGCCCGAGCGGGGGTCCGCGCAAGGGCGCGCGGTCTCAGCGCACTCTTGGGTTCTTTTCCCCGCTCCGTGGCCGTCCCGGGGCGGTGTTCGGGAAGGCGCTGGAGGAGAAGGCCGGCTCTGGGGCTGCAGGCGTGGGCTGCTGTGCGGAAGCGACTGCCGTCGGGGGCGGGGCCGGAGTGTCCTAGCCACTCGCGGGGGTGGCTTCCTGAGCCGCGTGGCTCCGGGGCCTTCCTCTGCTTCTCTCCGGGAGTGCTCCTCCCTCGGGGTGGCCGCCCACGCCCGGCCGGCCGAGCTTCCCCCAATGGCGCTAATTCCTTAAGGTCGGGGCTGGAGGGCTGAGTTTATAAGTCCTTGGGGCTTTTGAAAGGAAATTAGCTGGGTGTGTCCTGCTGGATGCTCCTCCCCTTTAGTTCCAGTTAGGCCTTTCCAGGTTCGCCTTAACCTCCCGCGTGGTCCCACCGAGAGATTTTGAACACAACGGAATCCTGAAGTTTCTGGTGACCCCGTTAAAGTTGAAAGAAACAGCTTTAGTAGAACACCCATTTCATTGCGTCCCAAATATTGCCACTTAAGCATGCAAGCAATATACAATTAAAGTACACCTCCCCTTCATGCTAAATCTTTGATAATACTGCGTTTTCCACCTGTAGCACGAAGGGATTCATTTTGCTTCACACTGGCCACGTTTCAGGTCCATTTTGCCACGAAAACCTCCAAATCTCCTGAGTTTTGAAATGTAACTTCAACCCTCCCCTGTCTTAAGTTACCTAAAGTTTGTTACAATGCCACTGTAGTACTCTTGGCCCCTATCACAGCAACAGTACAAAAGAAAGCTCGTCTATGGTTTCCACAAACTATTTTGTGCCTAAAAAGCCTTTTGCAGAAAACTCTTCTCATCTCCTCTAGTCAGAAGGGCTGTTGAATCCTAGATGTTAGTAAACCTTCCTTGTTTGTTCCAACTCGCTTTCATGGATGCTCGTTTCAAGGCTGTGGAGTATGGATTCCCAATCCTGGCCATCCACAAAGGTGTGACAGAAACAGTACCAGTGTGGAGGCACAGACCGGCAACCAGTGCTCTCGGGTTCTAGCCAAGTTTTTCAACATGGTGACCACTACCACAGACAGGAAGAGGCATACTCTGAATAGTTTGATCTACTACACCTGGCATGGGGGCCTGGATCTATTTCTAAAAGTCAAACAGGTTGTTCTCCAGTTGCAGTGGGATGGAAAACACTGTTCTGGAGTTTCAGTGGGTTTACAGAAGTCTATTAATTTTACGAAATATGATCTTACCTACTTTTCCAGTTGGGTAGACTCTTCACTGGTAGGCCCTCAAGGGCATATTTCACGGCGTCCTAAAGGGATTGAGGCTTTGAAAACATTGGTAAATAAGCAGTGTCTAGTCATTCACTTTGTATAATATACACTGTTTACTGCCTGATGTTCTCAGTGTATTTGGGCAGGTTTTTTTTTTTTTGTTTTTTGTTTTTTAAATACAATTCGTGTCAAGTATACCAAGGGGGAAAGCCAAATAAAGCCTGCAGTGGAGTAGTGGATATGTTTTTGGTCACTGGAAAGGAATATATAGTAGTCTGCAATAGAGATCATCGGCAGCCTCTCTTCTCGTGCATTGTCTTAAATCCTTTTCCCCAGGACCTAGGGCAGAAGCTGTGGCAGGAGAGCTGGTCCACCACTGAGAGGCGGAAAGGTCAGACTCATGGACATAAAGTCCACGGCGATAAGATTCATTTAAGATGGTTTTTCTTCATTTAAGATTTTTTTAAAGAGATGCTAAACGGTTTAATTTAGGTGTTCATGATATAAAAATTGCTTTCTATTTCACTTTCATATAATAAATGAGGTTTCGTGTGTCCCCATACACAAATATATACGTTCATGCATTAATTTATACGTGATCAATATTGTGATTTATGAACAAGGCAGGAGATATTGAAATTTACCAACCTTCCCATTTGGGCCTAAAGTTATTGTCTCATATTAAATCTTGCTTATGAAGCAACTTCTAGATTTTCTTTTGCCATAAATATATGAGTGGACTTTTCATTTAAGTTCACCAAGCAAGCCAGTCCCTTCTGCCCTTCCACAACCACCAGGACATTAACTTTGCATTTGAATATGATTTCCCTTTTATTGCTTAGCTGCTGATTAGGATGCAGTTTGATACAATGGGCTCTTTGAAACTATAGAATTCCCTGTTTACCCAATAGCAGACTGATTGTTGAACCTAGCCTTTTAAATCTAATCTAGTTTTGGTATTAAGACGGAGTCAGTTACAAACCAAACAAAACTCAAGGCGTCTGTCCTTGCAGAAAAGCGGCTGAAGAAGTTTGAGGACTGCTACCACTGCCTCGCTGAAACAGAGACTGGCTTTCCTGGCAGCCTAAACTAAACAGGCTTTTTTTTTTTTACAGGATGAGGACAGGGGTCAGTGACTCCAAGAGCTTCCCCTGAAGGAGGGAGTCCTTAGCCTGTGGGGTGTATGCTTCCTGGAATAGTATCGAAATATAAGAATATAATAGTCAGTTGGTGCTTAGAGTTCCACTTCCTAGAGATGGGTTCTTCTGGGTTGGATTTCAGGCTCTCTGCAGTTGGTCAAATCTCTGTGTATTACAGAAACTCCGATGCCACACTCCTCTTTCCACACTGTCTCATTCTTACTCCAGTAAGCTATCTGTCTTCAGTGTCTGCTCCTTCACTGAACACTTCAATCTAGCCATGATTCCTGATGCTTCCCTGGAACGACTTTTCACCAATCCTTAAGTTTGTTTTGTGTCGTCCCCCCCTCCCCCACCACGAAGCACAGAATGGCCTCGAACTTGTTCAGTAGCCAAGAATGACTTTGAACCCCTTATCCTCCTGCTCCCGCTTTTTGAGTGCTAAGAGTACAATCATGTGCCACACCCAGTTTATGCAGAAGCTGTGCTGAGCAGGTACCAAAGGCTTTGTGCATAGATAAGCATCTATTAACTGAGCCACCTTCCCAGCCCTCAGTGAGTGCTTTTACCCCATGGAATGTAATCTCCCCAAGCAGTACTTCATATATATATATATATTTTTTACTTTCCCCAAAGCATTTCTCCATTCTTCTGTTTTTATTCCTGTTTCTACAGCGTGCCTTGGGTTACTTCGAAGGTTCACATTACATTTTAGTATGCATTAAGAATTTCCCTTAGGTTTGCATTCTGCTTATTCCATCCTTTCCACATAAACGATCAGCTCCATTCCCAAGATTCTTAATTGACAATTCTTAGATCTCCCAGATATTTATCACAGCAGGAAAAACAAAAACAAAACAAAAAACTGGATGCAGTCTTCTAGTTTGAAATAGTGTATACTTTTTTTATACATTTGTTATAGCAGTTATCTTATATACCAGTCTAAAAACCCCTCACTTGTACAAAGAGAGTGAACACAGTGATTTCTGAGGGTTATGGCAGAAAGAGGAACGAATAGGTGGAGTACAATGGATTTCTATGGCAGTGGAATACTCCAGAGAGATGTGTGGAAACTCTTTTTCTGCTCACTCTTCCTGGGTTTCTGTAACTGCTTTAAAAATGAAGTGAGCAGAAAATAGAGTTTCTGCACATCTCTCTAGACTAGTTTCATAACAGAGCTACAAAAATATAGTCTTCTATAGAACTACTTCAGATATAGTCTATGAGTTCACCTAACAGACACTTCAAAACGTACATGAAAATGTGACAAAATTGAAAGGAGAAATAAATCCATAATTGTAGTTGAGGACTTGAGCATGTCTATCTCAATAATTAGTAGAATTACTATTAAAATACACAGATGAATAACATTGACAAAACTAATTAAGCCATACAACCAGCCAACAGGATTTAATTGATGTTTACATACCGCTTCACTAACAGTAGGATATAAATTCAAGTACCCATTGTTAAATTCACGCATGTAAACCTTATCTGAATTATAAACATGAACCTCAATAAACCTAAGAGTCAAGATTATGTGGACTATTAACTGACTCTATCAAGATCAAGTTAGAACTCAATAATG